AACGAAACTTATTCTTTAAAAAATTCACAGTTATTTCCTGAGCATCGATCAGAAAGTGAATCTAGTCATGACTTGTTTTCAGAAAATAATTCTGCTGAGTTTAATGATAACAATTGCTTGTCTGAGACAATAGATTTTCCTTTAAGTAATGATACTAATGATTATAATACTTCTATTGAATGCCAGTTCTCTACTTTTATTGATGCCAGTTATGACCATTTACTGTCTGAGCACATTCGTATTTGGGCTCTGCAACACCGATGCACACAAGCTTGTGTCAATGGTTTGTTAAACATTTTAAGATCTCATGGTCATTAACTACCTAAAGATTCACGATCCATCTTGGGCACATTAGATAAAGTTCAACCCACAGAATTAAATGCTGGAGAATATTACTACCTCGGTAGAAGAAAAGGTCTCGAAGATATATTAAAAAATAATATTTATGCTGATAAAGAAATTAAACTTCTTTTTAATGTAGATGGTCTTCCAATTTTCAAGTCATCTGGATACCAGTTATGGTTAATAACATCCCAATTTTCTAACTTCAATCCGTTTACAATTGCGTTGTATGGTGGGTATGATAAGCTAACTGCAATTAATTTTCTGCATGATTTTTCAAAAGAACTTCAGGAATTTCATAATAAAACTGTTATTTTATGTGGAAAGTTTTATATTGTTTCAATATTTGCAATTCCATGTGACTCACCGGCTCGAAGTCTTTTAAAGGGAACTGTGCAACACAGTGGTTACAATGCATGTGAGCGTTGCGATGATTATGGGGTCCCAGTTCAGGGTCGGATAGTATATGATACAACAAATCCTAATTTAATTTCATCACGAACTGATAATGGGCTACGGACTGGTCAATATTCTGAAAGAAATAATGATAACAGGTGTCATCATCACAATATAACGCCCTTGTATGAAATACATAGTTTAGATCTTGTTAGACAATTTCCATTAGTTTATATGCATCTGGTTTGTTTAGGTGCTGTGCGTCGTATTTTATATTATTTCAAAGGCTCATATCCACGTATATATTCAGGAAGATTATCTGCTGCAAACTTAATAAAAATTTCTAATCGTCAAAGTCAAATTTAAGGAAAGCTATCTTCAGAGTTTGTAAGACAGCCTCGTGAATTGACTGAGGTTAATCGTTGGAAGGCAACTGAACTTAGAACATTTCTTTTATATACTGGTATTGTTGTTCTTAAGAATGTTTTAAATCCTAAAACATACAAGCATTTCTTAAGTTTAGTGCTTGCCATTCATATGTTATGTGAAGAGAATATAAATTTGAGGGAGACATTTAAATTCAGCACGTGAATTAATTAACTATTTTGTAACCAATGCCCATGAACGTTATGGTAATACCTTTACCGTTTACTGTATTCATAATCTGAAACATCTTCCTGATGATGTTGAATATTTTCAATTGCCTCTTGATGCTTATTCTTGTTTTTGATTTGAAAATTATTTGCAAACTATAAAGCGTCTAGTGCGCAGTAAAAGAAATCCATTAAAAGAAATTATAAAAAGACTTGATGAGTTGAAGGGAACATTACAAGAAAACTCTACTCATATAACAAAACTTGATTGTGCTAAAAACTCTTGGTGTCTAAGCAAAAATTATGTCTGCTTTATAAAAGAAGTTTTACCAAATGGTAGATTGGTTTGCAATGCCTTTAAAAAGACTGAGCTAGATAATTTTTTCATAGATTTTATTGATTCTAATAAACTAAACATATTCGTCATAAAAAAAGATAAACATCCTTTAGAGAAAGTAGATGATGTAGAAATTGTATTAAGAAAATGTGTTTGTTTGATGCATGAAGATGATCGAGTTGTTATCCCTTTATTAAATAGTGCAAATTTTAAATGATAATAAAATTGTTTATTTGTGTTCATAGCTGATTTAATATCTCAGTTCCTAAGTTATAGTTTTCGGAGCTAATTTTCCAGCTCTAACAGTTTGTTAAATCATTAACCCTAAGTAAAAATACATAAATTTGGAGTGCGATGCTGTTTTAACATTTCATTATTGTTCTGAGCTGCATATTTTTATAAAATTAATTGTTTAAAAATTTTTTATATTGTTTTAAAATTGTGTTTTACGCTGTGGTAGAAAACTAACATACTAATTCTAAAAAAAAATTTTAATAAATATTTTTCTTTAGACTTTACAGCACTGTTGTGATTATTGAAAAAAACCAACCAACCAAAACAGTAGTTCCAGCTCACTGGGTTGACTCGGATAGTTCTGTTGTTTATTTTCCCCCAAAAGGGTACAAGGCAGTTGGTATGTATATTGCAGAATGGGCTGTACCAGAACCAGGATGGCAGGAATTTGAGTTTGTTGAGTACATATTAGATTCTGGAACATTAGAAGCATGTAACCAGATGTTACATTTTCAAACTGAAGATGAGGCTGAAAATTTATGTAATCATTTTATAAATGTTATAAATGCATGATGATGTCATATTCACCTTGTGTCAA